AACAAGCACTTAAAAGATTCAAGTCTTTTATTTCTGTTGCTCTTCCTGCTGGTGTTAATGAAGGGAATGAAACTCCTATGACTGTCTTGGTTCAGAAGCTTCAAAATTCCCTGTCTTCTTTGGAGCGTTTTCCAGTTGTACCGAGCCATTCCTCTAGGTCATCCAGTGGAAGTGCACATCTCTCATCAGGGCTGAGTGCATTAACTCAGCCATTCAAGCTACGTCTTTGTAGAGCTCAAGGAGACAAATCTCTTCGTGATTATTCATCAAACATTGTGTTGATTGATCCCCTTGCAAGTTTAGCTGCTGTAGAAGAATTTCTTTGGCCATGAGTTCAGCGAGGTGAACCTGCACAGAAACCCTTGGCATCTTCAGGAAATTCTGAGCCTGGTACAACACTTGCAGGAGCTGGTGCTTCATCACCATCACCATCTACACCTTCTTCCACTCGTCGCCATTCCACCAGATCCAGACCATCGGTGACTATTGGAGGTGCATCTAGGAAGGACCAGGCTCAAGATAGTAATGCAAGCTCTTCAAAAGGAAAGGGCAAAGCTGTTCTGAAATCTGCTCCAGATGAGAAGAGGACCTCAAACAAGAAATGCTGCACGCAGAAGAGCAGCTTCAGACAAAGATGCCCAAATGAAACCTGCCCATGAGGACTCTAGCTCTGAGGTATGACCATAGTAACTCAAATATCCAGATAATCGTTAAGCATTCTGGGTGTTGTACTTGTACTTGATGTTTTGTTTCCCATTACTGTAATATCCACATCATTGCATGCACACATATACATATGCAGGATGGAATGTACTGTGGCTATATTGACTCTTGATTGTGTGCTCAACCCATGTTTAGCTCCTTTTTTTATTCTCCTTGTATATTTCATACAATTATTCAAATGTAATAGTATATTGCATGTACCGAAAAAAAACGGTTTGCTTATTGCTCAATTATCGGAAAAATGTCTGCTTTTAGCTGAGCTGATGAATCTTGATAATGCCGTGCGTTATGTGGCTGTACACATTTGCTGAACTTGCCTGTAGAATTGTAGCTAGCTAACATATGATAACAGCTTGGTTTGGATTTTTCATATCTTCCTGAGGAAAAAATTTCCACTTCTAATTCCTTCTCAAATTTTGGCTAATTTGGTAACATGTAATCACCAAAACATGAAGTTATTAATATGGGAGAAAAGTTATACCAGTCATTTTTATATGAGTTCATGTAGCACATGGGAATTGATTATTGATTGCATATTCTGGGCATTATGGAAGCATCTGCTATATTATGCACTCATTATACATAAAGTTCTTAAGAGACTTCAATTGCCTTGCTTTACTGTTATCAATGATCTGAACAAATGTTGCTGGATCCTCGCAGTAGCATACTGAGAGCTGTTTTCTTTACTTGACATGGCTGAAATCAACATAGTAAAAATGAACTAAGGATGCACTATAGGTGAAGCTGAGGTGACTGGGATGTTGGTTGGTGTGGTAATACTCATCTGGTTGCACAAATGAACTGAAAGACGCCATCGCTGCCAGCATTTCAAGAGGAAAGCTGGTTTCTTACGGTGCTCTCTCTGCCAACGGGAGGTCGTACTACACTCATAACTGCTACAAGGCTAGAGGCCCTGTCCATCCATACACCAGAGGGTGATCTTGCAGGCGATAGCTTTTTAACCGTTTCGGGTTACACGATCCTCATGTCGCCTTCCATCATCTGGGTTTGTTTTCTTTTACCTACGGTTTTATTTATTTTTAGCTGCTGAATAATTTAGGGCTTGGTTCAGTTCCTAAACATTGAATAGAATAACAACGATGGGGAGAGAGAGAGAGGGTATGTAAGGCAATTCGAATAGCTCATCTCAAGGGGAAGGCATTAACATGTTTATGTAAAGAATAAGATTTTTTTTAAGAAGCATATTAACCTTTCTTTAAATTCATATGGGCAGTGCTTTATTACACCATTTCTAAATGTATAATTAATTTCTTTCAAAAACATATTACTGTGATCAATAATTAATTTCTCACTATTTGTGACAAATACTCTTTATATGAAAACACCTCGTGTTGTTTAAAAATTGTTAGAGTTAACTACTATAGGAGTATTTATCACTGTGGGGAGTATAAAAATTTCACACTTCAGAACTTTTTTTCTTACACTCATTAGCCCCTGCAACGCAGGGGCCACCCCGCTAGTTTTAGGAATTTTGAAATAATTACCAGTTTACACGTCAATTAATTAACTAAACAGTAGGGATAGTTTAAGAAATTTGCCCATAAACAAATAATTTAAATAATTTTTTTTTTCTTTTATAGAATAAAAATAAAATTTTATTGATAAAAATAGACAAACTGATTACAACCAGACATGGGTGCTAAGTTAACACCCAATACAACTACAAAAGGACAACAATGACACAAACAAACAAAATGAAAACAATGAACCCCCACTGCAAACGCAGCTAGTCTTCAGCTTCAAATATCTTGTCATACCCATTATTGTCCTCATTCCAAACCTTTCCTCCTTCTCCTAACAACTTCTTCATTCTCTCTTCCCTTTTGCTCTTTTCAAATGTTTTGAAATCTCTTCTAGCAAACTCCTCGCCTCCCCAAAAAAATAGCCCTAAGCTCTTACCAATTCTAACATCCCTGTCGACTAGGCTCTTAATCTCCACTTTGTGCCCCTCCTTTCCAGTTTGTTGAGACAGCCGAACGACTATCACCAACACGACCTACCTCCTTATTTCCTGACCCTGGCCTAACCTCTAGGCCTTCCTAGGACCCGCCCAACCAACCCGTCTTTTAACCTTGAAAAAACTTTTGACACGTGGACAAAAATGAAACTTGTTTGTCTCTTTGGCTTTCTTCACCCCTTCTAGAGATTCAAAGTCTCCTTCCTTGTTCACACTTATTCTCCGACCTAGATCGACAACCTAGGAAATCTCTTTGGCAAGAAGAAATTGATGCATCTAAATGAGTGAAACATCCAAAAAAAGGGGCCTGATTCTCTAAATACTCTCAATTAACCGACCCAAATAAAGAATGATTAGATGGTTAGGATTTGATGCGAGTAATCTCTTGTGAATAGGAAAATCATTGGGTAGAAGTGTAGAACAGATTAACAAGCAAGAAATGGTGGTAAAGAGAGACATCACAATGTCATCTAAACGCTCCCCTTAAAATCTTTGACTAGTAAAGAGAAAGAATATTTTCAACAAACAAAGACACCTTTGCAGTTCAAAGGCAATAATCAACTATATTATCAATAGCATCCTCAGATTAACTAGTAGCTACAAGCACATGCAATCAGGACTTCAGTCATAAGACTCAAGTTTTCAAGGAATAGTATCACCTAAAGGAAACTGTACACCAAAAATCAGATCAGGCGTCCTTAGACCATTCTATTCATGCTTCATATTCAGGGCTTTTTTATAAGCCTTCATACTTAGAACTTTCAAAGTATTTTAATTGAACCCTTCACCATCATCCGAATAACCATTCCAAACATTTTGGATAACAAACTTAGCTGATTTTTGAACCAATTAATCATCAAGGTGGGACCCATTGAATGGTGGGTTGGAATTCCATCTTATGCCAAATAAATTGAAGAAAAATATGATTAAATGTGAAAGCACAACAGTAAAATAAGTTGTCCACTCTAAAGAAATTATATGTTGGCAAGGACCCCCTTGAGATGAGGTGAACTGCAATCAAGCAATGGTACCTTGATGGATAAAACAGATAGGTATATCATGAATTTAAAGAAGAACAGAAAAGGGAAGAGATCTTTTACATCCTTCAAAGCTGAATGGGTAGGTGATTACTCCCAACAGTTAAATAACTCGCTTCCTTCGATATCTGAGCAACAAGGGCAATTTCAGAACCCGTACCACCACCCATCCCTGCTGTAATGAACACGAGATCTGATCCCCTGAGAGTAGTATCGATGGCCACTTTTGATTCCTCTGCAGCCTGCTCCCCAAGAAGTGGATTTCCACCAATACCACTACATCTCTATTAAGTGATTCAAATACCATAGAACCATAGAAACAGAGACTCCTTTCTACTCTGGCTTTACCAGAATGTTGATAGCATATACAAACTGTCTAATATCCCTGAACACACGGTACTTGGAAACTTCTTGGGTCAAAGTAACAGTGCCAAACCTAGTTCACGAGTCAAGAGCTCCCTGATTTGAAGTGGGTTCTTAGCAGCAGACTGTAGTAATGCCTGAACGTCTATATTTATGGCGTAGAATTCAACACCCAGATATCAAAAGCATGCGACATAAACATAAATATACATGAACTATCCTCTCAAAGATGTGTATACAATTAGGCGTATGAAATCATGCCAGAATTGAAATTTAAGGTATTGTCAATCCAAAATGTAGCAAAAAACATCAAATTTATGATCATGATCTCTAAAATCTTGCGAGAAGAAAAGAAATCTTCATGTATTTTGATTTACCGAATGAGTATATATAAAGAGTATAATGGTGGAGTCCATCTGGCTAACTGAATGTACAGCTGGTAATAACAACCTAACTGTCTCTAACACTCCTCCACAAGTTGGCGCATGGATGCCCAACTTGGATAGCAAAGAATGAAAATGATCTATTCCTAAGGCCTTAGTAGATATGTCAGCCGGTTGAATGTAATTGATGTATGTTTTAGTGATGGTATTGGGGCGAACAGGGGCGAAGCCAGAAATTTTTTGTGAGGAGGGCCAAGGGAAGAAGTATGGATGGACCCATAGGGGGGCCAACCATTGGGGTGGAGAGTTTGGGAGGGGGGAACTTTACATGGAAAGCTTTATTCCAAGTGGAGAATTCTGGACCATAGGGGGGGGCATGGCTCCCCTGGCTGGCTCCGCCCCTGG